GATCTAATCTCAATCTTCTTATCTCTCTAGGATTACATTCAAGACTTTAGATCTGATAAGACTCTMTMYTTRGAKATTAYATTCRADATTYGGACTCTTRACTCTTGAATTCGAGTTGGGCTGCTTCAAGGTATTTCTGCGAGTTGGGCTTAAGTTGTGAAATGGGCCTGGCTGCGAACTTGCTCCGATTTCGGGCTCATTTTCGTACTCGATGCGTGCCGAATCTGTCAAAACTCAGAACATAAAAGTTGTGGGCCTTATTTTCATCTTTTTAATGCTTCTTGAATTGTCCAATTCGGAGTCCGAAATTGAGAGTTAGGCCCAAATTACTGACAGACACCGAAACTGTTCAAAATCACCCAATTTGCCCTGTTTTCTTCCAATTGCCTTTTTTATTGCCCTGAACCGAAATACAAGAGTAATGAGTCCATTTAGGTGCTAAATAAATGTAAAAGAGTGAATATTAGGGGATAAAAATAGGGTTCTTTTTGATCTCATCACTGCCCTTGTTGTTCTCCACATCATCCTTCCCTTTATCTTGGGTTGTCGGAAGAAGCTATCTACACTTGAGGGAGGAGTCCACCTGGAATCAAAGAGGGAGGACAACCATTACCAAATAAGAGCAATAAAAGGACAAGGTATTAGTAGGTGATTCACCGTCTCACCATTCCTTAAGCAGAGGCTACAAGCATGTGGGGATAAGCACCAGTTTAATCTTTTCCTTTGAAGCACTTCCAAGGTATCATCATCGTCTATATGTGGCTGGCTAACTGACATGAATGATGTTCCACCACTCTGCCCTGTTCATTTACATATCCATTGTTAAATTGTGGGCCCTTAAATCACTTCTCACTATTTCAAGCCATGTCTTTTTTTGCCTGCCTCTAGCTCTTTCAGTCTCTTCAAGTTGTAATAGATCACTTCTTACTCATGCTGTAGATTGTCTTCTTTTCTTTGCATGTGCCCAGACCATCTTGTTTGATTGGTTGTGCCCAAACCTTCTTAGTCTGCTTCATCTCATTTTATCACCAATTGGAGCCAGTTCATTTCTGATCCTATCTTTTTTAGTTTTCCCACTCATTCATCTCAACATTCTTATTTCTGCAACAGTCGTTCTTTAGTTGTTTCTTGACTACCGAACTCTCTGCTCCATACAATGTTGCTACCTTGTAACAATTCTATTAAATTTTCCTTTTAGCTTGAGTGGTATTTTTATAACACATAGGCCTCTGGATGCACTCCTCCATGTTGCCCATCTTACTCTAATTCTATGGGCAACATTTACTTCACCTTTTTCCTCAAAAAAAAAAAAATCTATTTGCATCATCCTTCTTCTATCTCTCCCTTGTTATGGACTATCGGACAAAGGTAATGGAAGAGGTCACATTGAGATATTTCTTGGTCTCCAATTGTGTGAACCCTGATTTAGGCTTCTATTATTATTAAATTTACATTGTATATTATGTCTTAATCCTACTTTAAACTTCATTCTTAACTCAGAAATCTTAGAACTGGTATTTAACTCATTTGATGTTCACTTTTAAGCATGGAGAACTTCTGAGATTTTGACAGCTAGAATATCATTGAGTCACCATTTTCATAATTCCAATGAAAAAAAAGGGAAATATGCTACTCTCTCTCTCCCTCCCTCCCTCCCATTTCTGACTAGGGAGTTAATTGGTGAAATTTTGTTCAGAAGTCCACATTGAAGGGGTGACTGTTAGGAACCTTGATGGCCGTTCTTTGGATAATCCCATCCCTACTGAGTTGAAGGCATTCACTAGACATAATGTTTCCATTGTTTGGGATTTTGCAGCCTGGTGGGAGGGGTGGGGTGGTCTCCAATAAAGCTAACAGTTATGTAGGCGCTTTTGGAGCTTTGAGTTGAGAATGAAAAAATTTAGGGCGTCATTTAGTTGTGGGTGATGCTAGTGATACCGACCAGACTCGCTATAGGAGAAGTTGTTGGACCATGATGGATGGTTTGACGCATTACGGATAAGGTTCTTGACTTCTTGTCAAGGGAATAGTTATAATCTCTTAAATGAATCCCCGATGCTAGCTGATTCTTTGGCTTGGGATGGGTTGGGGAGATAAAATTGTGTATTTGGTGGCCCTATGCAATTTTCCTCTTTTGGGGACTTTTTCTTTTTTTCTTCGTCTCCTCCAGTGTTGCTTGAAATCTTGTAAATGGATGAAATATTGAAGTGTCTGTGTCAGACATGTGACAGACTGACACTCCACGAATTACATGGCATCGTTCCTTTTTTTCTTATACAACATATACAAACAGCTAATGTACACAATTAATGCCATTTTTCCTATAAAATGTTGTTAAGTAACAACGGCTATCTTTTAGACATCTTTTGCTGGTTTATAATATTAAGATTCAACATAATATGGACTAGTTTAATGGTTTATACTTTTCTATAGATGTGTCTGCCAGTCCTTGTTTCTTCATCTTGTTGAGTCACACTCCTGTACATGCATATGGTTCTGATTCCTGTGTCTATGTCTATGTAACACTGGTCCTTTCTTGCTTATCAAAGAAAAAAAAACACTGATCCTCTCTTCATAGAAAGGCTGTTGCACATTTTGCTTAATGAAAATATAGTGTTACCATGTAATGTAAGCAGAAAAGAAAGGTTTACTTGCTGCTTGCCAGCCTAAACTTAAGGAACACTTAGCATTTGTGTACGTTAATTCTTTCTTTTTTCTTAATCAACAACATTCTAATGGTTACCAATCAAAAAAGAGAAAAAAAAACTGTTACCTTTTTAGTCTTCCCAAGTAAGTTCCTTAGACATCCTTTTGAGCATGCCTCTTGTTTTTAGCGAAAATCAACTCTCCGTTTCAGCATAATTATGCAGTCTTAGCCAGCTTGAGATGCAATATTGTTTTCTTTTTTATAGATTTTGTATATATAATGGAAATATTGTGTAGCCTGTTTACTGTGTAAAAATTTACATATAGCTCAGAATTAGAGATGTTTTCATTTCACAATTCTAAAACATTGCCTTTTGAAGCCTTTAGATTTCACTGGATACCTCCTAGCCGGTACCGCCAGTTGGTCTTCTTTGCAAGTATGATCTAGTGTTGTCAATGTAGTCAAGTGATGATTAGTCATTTTGGCCTCTCTATTTGATGCAGTGACTAGTCAGTGCCTGGGCTTACTAGTTTACCAGAAAAAAAAGATAATTTCTAAATTTAAGATATTGATGCTATCTCATAGATAAATTAATATACATGCAATGAAGGAATTATTATCAAACATTTATTTTGTAGTCTTTGTTTTGTGAATATAAAAATTGGATAGGCTAGGATAAGAGTTAAGTCTTTGTTCTTTCAAAGAGTGCAACCTTTGGCCATTTGATGTACCCCTTGTTTGTGGCAATTCTGTACCAGCACATCACTGATTTGAAGAAAACTTGAAAGAACCTAACCTCCACTTATGTCTTTTATGCCTTGTTTCTGCTTCATAAACCATAAACCAACGATGCTCCACTTCCATCACAAATACATGAAGCAACAGTATGTGCATAAACAATAAAAATATATATTATCTTATTTTGAAATAATTAGATATAAATACAAATGAAAAAGCTTTAAAGTAACATTCTGGTTGGCTGGTTGTCGTGATTGTTGATTGACTAGTCAATCTAGTCGATGCTTAGTTGTTGTAGGTTACCTCATCATGAGTAGAAATAAACTAGTTAGTGATGCTTAGTTGTCTTAGGCAATGTGTTGGTAATACTGCTATGGTTAGTTGTACATTCCAAAGAGAATATGGGGGGGGGGGTAAAAAGAAGAAAAGAAGTCTGGAATTACATCATAGTAGTTAAAAAGAAACATCATCATTCTTTATTATTCAAAAGGATTTTTATTGGACAGAGGTGTTCAATGGAATCTGTTTTAATGTGTAGGGTTATGTGGAGAGGGAAACTGCACTGATTGGATCTCTTACTGTACGGGAGATGTTATACTACTCGGCACTGTTACAACTTCCTGGATGCTTCTCCCAAAAGAAGAGTGTGGTAGATGATGCCATTTCTGCTATGTCTTTGGGTGATTATGCAAATAAACTGATTGGTGGCCACTGTTATATGAAGGGCCTCCCTTGTGGTGAGAGAAGGCGTGTCAGCATTGCCCGAGAGCTTGTGATGAGACCACATATCTTATTTATAGATGAACCTCTTTATCATCTTGACAGGTTTCCTTCAATTGTCTTACTCAAGTAATGATTTTGTCATATTGGACTTTTTAATCAAAATGATATGATAGATGGTGGATCATAAAGATGTACCAACAATATAATAGTTACATAGAGCACATGCAGGGGTAGGAGCACCTATCATTTGATATGAATGAGATCTTCTGCTTAACCTCATTGGGGATCTCTTATGATTTATCAGCCCTTTTGGTGATTTATCAGCTTTTATTTTTTTCCTTTTGGCTTCATTGGATTCTCCTATATTTTCCATTTATGTCAACTTATCCAACTGAAAGATTCTATTGCCAGAACCATTTGGTTGGGCTGATTTTTTCCCTTGGGCGTCTTCTAGGTGAGACTAAACCTGATTTATAAGTTCCATCCCTTGCATTTTTCCACAGTGAATGCTATTGTGTTGGTACATTATGTTTTTATCTGCTCGGAATGGGATTTTATATGTTGGTTTTGAATGTTCTCTCTGTTATCTAACATTGAATTGTCAGAAGTAGTTTGAAGAAGACAGATATCAAGTGATGCACACGCCCAAAGAAAAACTTATATATTAATGAGGTTCAAAAATGAGAAAGGACAATTGTGCCCTTCTCTTACAAAGATAAAAAAGATGTATATATGAGTTTGACTTTGATATACTATGTAAGATACATAATATAACAATGCTTCCAAAAGGAATAGTAACAGGAGATCAGGAAACAGTGCTATGCATCAGCTTAAAAGGGATAGTAGAATGTTCAATAGAAATAGGAAAGTGTAAAACATGATTTTTACTCAAGCAACATGAAATACAATATTTATTAATATTAGCAAAAGATGTAGCTTTAGATGACAAGCAACTAGAACGAAACAAAAGTTCAAGTTTATTAGCATTAGGGTGGTCAAGACATCAATGCAAAAGGTGCCACACATTATTTCTGCCAACAAATTCTGAACTACTAGTAGTAGAAAATAAACAAGATGGAATAGAGGAAGCCTTTGTCTTTTCAAATTCCAAAGCAAGCAGTTGGCCCAGTCTATGCCCTTTTCCTCTCATTGCCCCAATGCATTGCTCCTGAACTAAACAACCATCACGAGAAAAAGAAACAGTATTACCATCCTCAACTAGTTGACTAACAAAAAATTAAATTAGTGGTAAGCTTAGGAACTAGACTAGAAAGACTTTAGGAAAATGGAATTGTGAAGGATAAGATTGAAATTGCAGCGTTAAGTGTCCAGACTGAGTTGAACAGTCACTAGGAAGTTCCGGAAATGGGTGTTTGGAGGAAAACAGTGAAGGTTGAAGCAAAACATTTTCTGTTTGAAGAGTTAAGATACAATGGGAGATTGGTCTTGAAGATCAGAGAAGCAAAGTTACTGGTGATGCTGTTAGCTGGTATCAATTCCTTGAAATGGTTTGGGAGTTTTCTAAAAGAAGCGTTCTCTTCTAGTAGGGAGAAAGATCTGTAAAGATTTTTTTTTGAAAGAAGGTAAAGTATGATTGCATTAATATATGGTCCTGTGTACAAAGAGAAGCTGTACAAAATGAAGAACCTCAAAGAAAGGCCATCCTCAAAAAAGTATGATCAGATATACTATCTCTAAAATCATTATGTATAGACATCCAACTTCTCAAAACCTCTATTGCCAAGTTAATGACCTCAGCTTCAGTAGTAGATTTTTCTCAAAAATCCTGTTGTTCCTTTCTGACCACACAACCCACATAACTGCCAGAGGGATGGAAGCCCAGCATAACTTTCCTTTCCTTGACAGCCCCTGAATATGCCACTCCTCTAGCAGAGCTCTAACTGAAGCTGGCATGCACCAGCTTAGATTCAGGGATTTGCAGAAGTGTGACTATACTGCAGAACTAAACTTGCAATGAAGAGATGCCCAGAGGATTCCATTTGCATATTGCAAAAACAACACCTCCAATCTGGCAGATTAAGACCTTTATTCAGCAGCATTTCTTTAGACAGACACCTCCCCAGCCCCGCCACCCAAACAAAAAAACTTTATTTTTGGAGGAGCCAAGTTCCCCCAAGTGGCCTTGCTAGGAAAGGGGCTTCAGGCCTTCCCACCGGAAATTTGTAGAAGGATTTGACTGTGAATTCTCCAGATTTTGACCATTTCCAGACTGTTGAATCTTGCTCCTGAAAACTTAGCCTGCCTTGTAACAGACCATTTCCAGTCTTGTAACAGATTAAGAAAATCTGCCATCTGCTGAATTTCCCAGTCGATGAAATTTCTCCTAAAGAGAGGAACCCAGCATAGCCTGCCTTCCTGGAGACGTAGAGAATCGGCCACTAAGGCTTCCTTATCTACAACAACATTGTACAGGGCTAGGAACAACTCTTTTAGGGTGTTGTCACCAGCCCACTGGTCTAACTAGAACCTGGTTTTTCTTCCATCTCCCACTTTAAATTTAACGCCACACTGTTGAACTGCCTGTAAGCCTTACAAATTCCTTTCCACACCCCACAACCATAGGTGCCAGAGGGAATACCAACATCCCATCCATTGTTCCTTATGTTGGAAGGGTTAAGATCCATCATGTGGATGGCCGAACCATGCTAGATGGCTGGGTTGAATTTCAAAAATTTCCTAATCCTTCTAGGAATCGAATTCCCTATGTTTTGAAAGACTGCATTTTTCAGGATCAGTCTTGCACTGAACCGGACCAAATTTGAAACCAATCAAAGAGGGAGATTTATACATGATACGGATACCACAAACATAGATCCCAAGGTGGAAGTTCACACCCAAATCAGTCCTAAAACCAGCCTCCACTGAAGATGGCGTAGTGTATAGGTGAAGCTGATTCAACAACACAGTTTTCAGCAAAACTGCAACCCAACTACTTGGATCTAACTGGGGAAGGTGAGCCTGAAATTCCTCTACTTTTTTCTTGCAAAAATCAAAAGAAAACTGATCTCTATCAGTCCTTGAAAGCCTAGGTCATGATAGGGTTTCTTGGAAGACAAAAGAGAATAAGAGAGAACAAAAAAGAGTGGTGTTCTAGTTTGGTTCACCCTCTTCTTCTTTTATCTTCTTATGAAGCACTTTTCCTAATCAAATTAGGAGATTATCCAAATCTAATTTGATCCGGACTTTATTAAGAGATAAGCCTTATCCTTTTAAGATGATGGGTGCTTCATACCCAATTCCAAACCCAGATTCGACCCAAAGCACATGACAACTTAAGTTTCCATGTGACAACTTACTTAAATCTTATTAATTATAGGCCTTAGACCCATTTCCTTCAAAGGCTCACGACCAAGATGTTGCATGGCCAACTTAGGCCTGATTTGTATAGCACGGGGCCCCACAATGACCTCATATAAGTCCACATGGGTTCGACCCAACCTCTGTGAAAAGGCTTGGCTGAATTCACTGCTAAACGCAGTGAACCCCTGAGCACATCACTATGGGCCCAACATTTACACTTAAATGATTCATGAATTCAGCCATCCTAAAAAGATCCAAGGATAATGGACTTAAGTAAGATAAATCCCATCAGATAATCAGCCTTGTAATGGTCTCTTACACTTAACCTCTTGGCCCATAATGATCACAACATTGCCCGACAGGGAAGGACCTCTCTTCTGGCTGCAAGGTATAGTGTCACTCTCTGCTCGGATGGATATCGGGAATTAAAACCTTTTGCAAACAATTTTCATAAAACATATACATATATACATACATATATATATATATATATATTGCTGTAGAAAGAACAGGAGCATATATATATATTGCCGTAGAAAGAACAAGAGTAGCTATACTATCTTCCGCAACTTCCGGAAGAGCCAAACATATTAGCAGTAGCAGTTCGAGATCATTATCAGGATTCATCTACATATCCATATTGGGATCAATCTAGAAGGAGTCGGAGCACAGGAACCCGCTGGCTCCACTGCTCGATGTCCGTTCGGAGAGGGGATGAGGTCGGTGCTATCTTTCTTTCCTCTCAGTGATCAAAACCAAATCTCAAACACAGTTGAAATCCACTACCGGTTGTTTAGGTTTCCATTAGAGAGAGTGTAAGCCCTATCATTCACTTTGTCTGACAAAGAGGCCGGTTCTATCACTATGATCACCCAATCAGATGAATTCTCAGATTGCCCCAACATACCCAGGTTTTGACCCTTGATGGATCTCAATTGATGGGCATATCAAGGACAACCTAATCCAACACCTAGTGTAGTACCATAATCAAGTCTAGGGGTTATGTGTAACTTTCCAATTTTGCCCATCAATCTCCAAGGTCCAGGGCATAACTGGAAAATGGTCTGGGTCAGTGTTTCATCCAAACACAAACTGCATGTGCTTCGGGTCTAACCCTAGCAGCTGAGACAAGCTGTCCTAACTTTTTTTGGTAGCACATCAGTGTCATCCTTGGTAGGATAAACTCCCCAAGTCTATCCAACGCCTGAGAACATTTTAAACTAATATGAGTCTCATAATGTCTAGTTTAAGGGGTAATTTCATAGAAACATACCAATATCAACATGAAACAATAATGTACTTTTATTCATTTACAATAAATGTATTTCTACATCAATCTGATTGGAGCTAAGGGCATACACTGTCTAACACCTTAAGCCATATTTCTCCTCAATCACCTTCCTCCAAAGTTTGTTTGGTTCTGATGAAAATCTCCACAACCAACTTCCCAATAGGGCAAGGTTGAAAAGAGTAAGGTTTCTTATTCCCAGCCCGCCTTGTGACTGGGGTTTGCAGATTTGCTCCCAGCTCACTAAATGATACTTGTGGGAATCTTTCCAGCCTTTCCAAAGAAAATTTCTCATCTTTTTTTCCATTTCCTTTGCTACCTCTGAGGGAATGGGGAATAAGCTCATAAAGTAGGTTGGAAGGCTGGCTAACACACTTTTGATGAATGTGACCTTACCACCTTTAGAGAGATACCTTTCCTTCCAAGAAGCCAATTTTTGGTCCATCCTTTCTAGGACTGGAGTCCAAATTGCTTTGGAGATACATTTGGCTCC